TTATACGGTTTGCTAATTCCTCTTTAGGCTTTATTTATATACAAGTTCTTGCACGTTTCTGAAGTGGGTCCTTCCTACATGACAACAGATCGTAGACTCATTGGCCCAATATCAGAATCAAACAAAATAGAGAATCTATTCTATTCATAAACAGGCCTCGTGGTCCGTTCGTTTAGTTTTCATGTATCGATATTTTCTTACAAAAATACTAAAATAGAGTAAGAACAAAAAAGATAACTAACCAGTAGCGAGCATGAGAAAAACGAGTGAGCAAAAATTGTCCACTAAATCACTAATAATAGAAGAGAATTGTGAGGAATCATAGAATTCTCAATGCTAAAATTATTAGCAATGATTGGAGTCACTTGAATGTTTCATATATTTTATATACTACTTATACTAGTGTTAGTTCATTCACACGAATATTAATAACCATTTCTACCATTGTAATACTTCCACCAAATATTCAAACTAGTTACGTTCATCATTCTAATAAGTAAGTCTCAGGAATTCACAAACATATCAATTATTTGAATAACCCAATATATCATCAAAATGTGTGGTGCTTGCTAAGTTCCAAGATTCAATAGAAAGGTTGATATTGTTGTAACGAAGGGCTGTGGAGATACAACCAAAGATTGAGATTAAAGGTGTGAGGACCAAAAGCAGGGCATGTGCTTCTTCACATAAATTAAAAAAAAAAACTCAACTTATTCCTAATATTTGGAATTAATAAACATAAGGACAATGAAACCATCTGGGTTGGTCCAATCTTTTTTGGATGACCTAAGCAAATTTGAAAATTAAATACATTTCTATGTTAATTAGAATTTTTAAAATCAGAATTCCACTATCAAAAGTCATAATTGTAAAAAAAAAAAAAAAAAAAATCCAGAAATAATGTTAAAATTCTACCTTATATTGCTATCATAAAAAAAAAAATCTACACATATAGGAGTATTTGTTATAGCATAAAGAATGCCCAACAATTTAGCCTTATATATATATATATGTATATTTCTTGGAACAACAATGCTAATTAATTTTTGTTGACCACAGTTAAAATGACCATTCGGTACTTCGGATTCTTTCGGTTTTTGGATAATTCGGTTACAAAAATTTGGTAATGTAATCGATTCTATTCTATTCGGTTCGATATAAGTACTTGAAATTTGAAACGGATTCGGTTCCGATTACAAACCAAACTATCTGGTTTAACCAAAAGGAAAAACGGATTTGTTTCGATTCGGTTTCGGTTAATATGTGAGGCCTAGTTAAAATGATTCTTGGTATGTTGCTTGACATGTGAGTGTACACTCTACAGTACAATAGACGGTAAGGGGTAAAAAAGGGAAAAAAACATCGCTCGAGGCCAAATATAACCATTTAATCTCAAACCTAACCATCTCTCGAGGCCAAGTATAAAACCATTGAATAGCTTCACCAACCAACGAAACAATTTCACTGTTCTCTCTTCTTCAATGGAACAACAATTAACCTTTGTATTGCTTGATAGCCCAGAAGGCGCGAAATATGTAGAAGAAACCCTAGAAGTCGCTTCTTCTTCTTCTTCTTCTTCTTCTTCTGTTCCCTCCTCCACTGATCACCGCCATCGAACCATTGTCAAATTCTTCGTTTACTTCTCTCTCGTCGCTCTCGCTTACTATTTCATCATCTCCAGTTTCGCCGTCTCTCCAATTTCCCCAACGTTGCCGCAGCAATCTTCTTCCGGAAACGGTAATCTTTCTTTCGCAGTTCTTTCTCCTCCAATTTCGAATTTGTTTTTTGATCAAGATTCGAGAATCTTTCCAATTATGGAGATTTAGGGATTGTTGGGTGTTTAATTTTGGAAATTCTAACCTCTAACAGTGACATTAATGGAAATTTCTAAACTTTCGATCAAAACTTGTAATAATTTAGGGTTTAAGTGATGTGTTTGCCATGTGTTTGATTAAATGTTTGTGTGAAATTTTCTTCTGCAGTTTCATCAGCAAAGTGTGATCTTTTCACCGGAGATTGGGTTCCGGATCCAACAGGTCCTCTGTACACAAATGTCTCTTGCCATCACATTCAAGATTTTCAGAACTGTCTATTGAATGGACGGCCAGATGTGAATTATCTCTTCTGGAGATGGAAGCCTCGTGATTGTGATCTTCCTAGGTTTAGTCCGTCGCAGTTTCTTGATTCAGTGAAGAACAAATGGTGGGCTTTTATCGGTGATTCCATCGCTCGTAACCATGTCCAGTCTCTCATCTGCATTCTTTCTCAGGTTTGTTGATTCTTTATTCAGAGAATGAGTTTGGTTTTGTATTAATGAAAGTTTCCTTAGACTACAAGTAACCAAGGCCTTTGATTTATCGCTCAGGTTGAAGAAGTGGAGGAAATCTATCACGATAAGGAGTTCAGATCCAAGATATGGAGATTCCCTTCTCACAACTTCACACTTTCTGTCATTTGGTCTCCTTTCCTTCTCAAATCCGAAACATCTAGCGACTCGGATATCCAGCTTTACCTTGATCAGCTCGACCACAAATGGACCGTCCAATACTCGAAATTCGACTACGTTGTTATCTCTGGAGGCAAATGGTTTCTTAAAACCACAATATTCCATGAAAACAACTCAGTCACAGGCTGTCATTACTGTCAAGGAAGAAACAACCTAACTGATCTCGGCTACGATTACTCCTACCGCAAATCCCTTAACCTTCTCCGTGACTTCGTCCTAAACTCAAACCACAAACCGCTGGTTCTGTTCCGAACTACAACACCTGACCATTTTGAAAATGGAGAGTGGAACACTGGTGGGTATTGCAACAGAACGATGCCGTTTAAAGAAGGTCAGGCAAAAATGAAAACCGTTGATGATGTGATGCGTGATGTTGAGCTTGAGGTGTTTCAGAAATTCGGGAAAGGTTTCGGTTTAGGTTCCAACATCAGACTATTAGACACGACTGGAATGTCTCTTCTCCGTCCAGACGGGCATCCGGGACCGTACCGGCATCCAAATCCTTTTGCTGGAGTTAAGAATAAGAGCCATGTTCAGAATGATTGTCTGCATTGGTGCTTACCTGGTCCAATTGATTCATGGAATGATGTGATGGTGGAAACCACGCTTAACCGGGAACGGGAACTATACGATTTAACCGGTTAAGGTACCACGATGTTGCTTGTAGCTAGTTACAGTCTATATAGCCATTCGTTTTCCCAGTTGTTCGTATGTATGCTAGTTCTATAAATAAAATTTGTAATTGTTCTATTCAAAATAAACGGTTTTGCAATGTGAATTTTTGTTTAATACGACACCGTTGTTCTCTGGAAGGCTAATAATCTAAAATTATGAAACGATGTCGTCTAGATCAGCGAGGCTTCAGAGGTTTGGTTTTACAAATTACAAATCTTCTAAAAGCGCTGATGGGCCTCTAAAAGGTCAAGGAAATAAAGCGACGTCATTGGGAAGATATGCTTAATGGACATTGGACGGTAAACAAACACCGTGTCATTCTACTTCATCAGACATAGCTGTCCTGCCGTTTTTTATAGCCATGTGGCCTGTGGGGATCGTCCATTGATAGTCGTCGTCACTAATGACATATGCAATACGATGAACATATTCGGTAATTTCAGCAAGATTTGGCAGATATCGAAACAAATAATGCATGATTTAATAATATTGTTTAATTTGTTTTTTAGTATTGATCATTATTTATTTTGCTAATATCCTATAAGTATATATAACCACTATATTATAAGTATGTTTAATATATTTGTGTATGAAAATTATGATAACATATCTGTTTAAAAGTTGTATTGATGCGACAGCTTTATACTCGTTCAAACAACATTAAAAATTGTCAAATTCCAACCACTTATCACTCTCCTTTATGTGATTGTTATTAGCTTGGCAATGTTATTCATTAAATATTGTTTATGCACAAATCGAATTGAAAAAAGATATTAAAAATAAATAAATAGATAACATCATCGTTCACAAATAATTAGCGGGACATATTCAATTAAGTAAATCATTATATGAGATAAAATTCTTTAGTGATTGAGGAAAGATGAATAAAGGTTCTTAAAAAAAAAATAGTAAATCATTACAAAAATGATGGGCTATGATATAAATCCCACTTTCACCTTTTTCACTCAAACAAATGCTAAAGTCTAATCTATCGATGAATGATTAAATGCCTTTTTATCGTCGCCAGTCGCCACGATGACCCAAAATATTTCAAGAATATGTTTTTAATTTGTATAGAACAAAATGTTTGGTAAATAAAAGATAAACGATAGTTATAATAGAAAATAATATTAGCAAATTTCTGTTTCAAAAAATAATAGTAATAGCAACCAAAAAAAGTAAAAAACAAAAGGAGCGAAAGAAAAATAAAATTGAGAACAAAAAAATCATTGCGGAAGCATTACGTTTGCATTTCATCACATATTCACACGTGCGCTTAGACATTTCACACGCACATATATAATTGACCCACAATCACACAAAAAGGCTGGCTGGTCATCACTAATTTTCAACAATTTCCCTACACCTCCTCTCCAATAATTGAACATTTTTTTTATATTTTTTGGCAGCCATATTATATATATATATATATATATATATATATATATATATATATATTTGGTTTTCAGTTGTAGGATATTATATAATAGCATTATGTGTCTATCTACTATACAAACATTTTGATGTATCATTCCCAATTATATCTAAAATATGAATATTCCACAGTAAAATAATGCTTTGCTTTATATTTACATGAAAATCACAAAGTATGAATATAAATCCACACTTTAAATGGTTTATTTCATATTAACATGGAAAATCACAAAACAATAAGTATAAAAATGAATTAGCTAAATGATGAATTTTTAGTTTAATTAACAGGTTACCAAAATATTCATATTCGAACATGGTCGCCACACGGAACATTCTACAAAAAATTACAAATAAATAAAAAATAGAATTTCTCCTCTCAGTGATTCAGACAAGCTCTCTATATAAAGCCATTTACTCAATACCTCACAAATTACAAAAAAGAAAAAAGGAGATAATAATCACAAATTACAAAAGTAGAAAGAGAAAAGAAAAAAGATCATCAGTTCTTGAATCTTTGCATCAATGGAGGAATCAAAAGCTTCTCACGTTGCGATCATACCAAGTCCGGGAATGGGTCATCTCATCCCACTCGTCGAGTTCGCTAAACGACTCGTCCAACGTCACGGCTTCACCGTTACCTTCGTCATCGCTGGGGAAGGTCCACCGTCAAAAGCTCAGAGAACCGTCCTTGACTCTCTTCCTTCTTCAATCTCCTCCGTCTATCTCCCTCCCGTTGATCTCAGCGACCTCTCTTCGTCAACTCGCATCGAATCTCGGATCTCCCTCACCGTGACTCGTTCAAACCCGGAGCTCCGGAAAGTCTTTGACTCGTTTGCGGAGGGAGGTCGTTTGCCGACGGCGCTCATCGTCGATCTCTTCGGTACGGACGCTTTCGACGTGGCCGTAGAATTCCACGTGTCACCGTATATTTTCTACCCAACAACGGCCAACGTCTTGTCGTTTTTTCTCCATTTGCCTAAACTAGACGAAACGGTGTCGTGTGAGTTCAGGGAATTAACGGAACCGCTTAAGCTCCCTGGATGTGTACCGGTCGCCGGGAAAGATTTCCTTGACCCGGCCCAAGACCGGAAAGACGATGCATACAAATGGCTTCTCCATAACACCAAGAGGTACAAAGAAGCTGAAGGGATTCTTGTGAATACCTTCTTTGAGCTAGAGCCAAATGCTATAAAGGCCTTGCAAGAACCGGGTCTAGATAAACCACCCGTTTATCCGGTTGGACCGTTGGTTAACATCGGTAAGCAAGAGGCTAAACAAACCGAAGAGTCTGAATGTTTGAAGTGGTTGGATAACCAGCCGCTCGGTTCGGTTTTGTATGTGTCCTTTGGTAGTGGCGGTACACTCACATGTGAACAGCTCAACGAGCTTGCTCTTGGCCTTGCAGATAGTGAGCAACGGTTTCTTTGGGTCATACGAAGTCCAAGTGGGATTGCTAATTCGTCGTATTTTGATTCACATAGTCAAACCGATCCATTGACATTTTTACCACCAGGATTTTTAGAGCGGACCAAAAACAGAGGTTTTGTGATCCCTTTTTGGGCTCCACAAGCCCAAGTCTTAGCACATCCATCCACGGGAGGGTTTTTAACTCATTGCGGATGGAATTCGACTCTAGAGAGTGTAGTAAGCGGTATTCCGCTTATAGCATGGCCATTATACGCTGAGCAGAAGATGAATGCGGTTTTGTTGAGTGAAGATATTCGTGCGGCGCTTAGGCCTCATGCCGCGGACGATGGGTTAGTGAGTAGAGAAGAGGTGGCTAGAGTGGTAAAAGGATTGATGGAAGGTGAAGAAGGCAAAGGAGCGAGGAACAAGATGAAGGAATTGAAGGAAGCAGCTTGTAGGGTGTTGAAGGATGATGGGTCTTCGACAAAAGCACTTAGTCTTGTGGCCTTAAAGTGGAAAGCCCACAAAAAAGAGTTAGAGCAAAATGGCAGCCACTAAATATTTGATGGTCCAATATGATTTGTATAATCAACGGTCGGATTTGTGCAAATGTGTTTCTGTATGTATGTCTGTTCTAATTTTCTTTGCATCGTATCTGTCTCAACTTTTATTTGTATATGTTTTTTTGGCTTTTGATCAATTCGTTAGTTTTTCATGGTGCAAGTAAGATCCGCCTAGAAGAAGATGGTGCGTAGTACAATATTGTTCAAGAAACTCATCAATAAATACTTTCAATATAGTTTTTTTTTTTGTATGTCTTACAAAATAACGGGTTTTTTTTTATATATATAAAAATGTAAATATCAATGTAAAAATGAAAAGTTTAGATTTTTACATGAGGTCGGATAGTCACATACAAACAAAAAGTAAAAAACATAGAAAAATAACCATTCAAACCTTTATCAACAGATCTTAAGCGATTAGGCTTTTTTTTGGTGCGAAGATGTAATGAAGCATAACCGTTTGTTTAAGTTCGAAACACTTGTTGTAATCTCAAGAGTACATGGCTCATCAATGAGACATAAATGTCAACAATTTGGTTGTTTGGTAATGAGATACGCTATGGGTTTTGATTAAAAAACGTCCGTTACGGATCAGAGATTAAAAAACAAAAAAGTAAAAATAAGTGTGTGTGTGGAGTAGGTGAAATAGCGTTAACGACAAATATACATAAACATGTGTGGGACCTGAAGACAGCATGTCGTTTATGACTTGTAAACGACTTCCTTTTTTTTTTTTTCGTCTGAAAGATTATTTATATATCACGGGTGAAATACGTTCTTGGAATACAAAGGTTGGCGGGACTTTAACCCCCAGAAACTAAACCGGCGGAAAAACGAGATATCCCCAGAGTCAAAGCCCAAAAGAGGGAAACAAAAGCCCTAAGTTACAGGGAAACATTTGAAAACGATGAAATTACAATCCACAAAAAGCGAAATGAAACACAGCAGCTGAAACTAAGATCTCAAACGAAAAAGACTTGCCAAAAGATCTCCCTTACTCCTAGATGAACAAAGCCAACCACAGTGGATGAACATAATCCGTTAGCAGCTAACGAAACCTCCTATAATGAAGCCAGAGTACCTCCCAAATAAAATAATCCTAGACTTCATATCCGGCAAGACGGAAGCAAATCACAAGAAGACTTGCAAATCTTCTGGAAGCGGCGATGTAGAAACCTACTACAATTTGACGCCTCGATAAAAGTCTTTGATTTGACCAGACCTCGATCAGGTCTTGAGTGTAGAGACAAGGAGCGAGACAAAACTCCAAACCGATGACGCCAAACTCCAAACAAGAAAGGCAACAGATCGAATCGGGGAGCTCACAATAAAGACCACCGAAGAGAGGGAGAGAAAGAATCAACAAATCCAAGGAGAACTAGAGATCCAACCAAAACCATGCCATCAAAACGGGCTATCACCAAAAGCAAAGAACCAGAGATTGTGAGCCACAAAATCTGGACCATACGTCTAAGACGTACACACGATCCGTCGAGAAAGGGCCAACAAAGCAACTTCTTCTCAAATGAAGAGCAAGCCAGAGATTGAAACCAACCTAAATTAACCACGACTAAACAACTAAAACGAACCCAAGAGAGACTCTAGCCAAGCGAGACAATGAAAACGAACCGGACACGAGAAAGGACTGCCGAACAAGCCATGAAGACTCGCCGAGAAGTTCCATCGTCACATCCAAGCAAGATCTTCACCACCAACACCGGATTTAGACATAAAGAGAACAAAAACCAACAATACAACAAAAGAAAAACATTTGGACCCTCTCACGACAGCAACGGCGAGAAGCGCCGGCCACCGGAGAGGTCAATCGGAAATTTTTTTTTTTTTGGGGGTGGCGGCTAGGTTTGAGAGGAGCAAGTCGTCGATAATTATTAAGTTTTCTATTTGTTTGACGTTACTTGTAAGTTGTAAACGACTTCCACTTTTGTTCTGTTTTGAAGTAGGTTATTTGCCACTTTCACGTGTCAAGTGTTTTAAGCAGTGAATTATCCATTTATCCACATTTCTACAATTACCTTCTTCTAGTATGAAATTTCTGTTTTTGTATCAACTTAATAAAATAAAACAAAAACGATGTCAAAAAAATAAAAAAAAATAAATAAAACAAAAACATAAAAATCAATTTGGGCCTAAGAACTCCGCTTAGGAGAAGTCCAACAATGCTTTCACTTCTTGGAAGGCCTACTATATTCACAGTCCACGATAAATGGTTCTTGAGAGTTAATTATTTGAGATTTAAGAAGTTTTTCTTATTACAGAGTGAAATTTTTTAAAATACTAATATAATCGAAACAATTAGTGAAACTACATAGAGATATTTGATCACTTTTCAATTTTCATCATCCAAAACCTCTCAATTTCTCCAGCGGTTCTTCCTGGGATCCTCCCAGCTATCAATTCCCACCTTTCATCAAAAAAAGAGGCAAAATAAAACACAAAATCCAACTTTAATTATAGAGTTTAATAAATTATTTTCCTACAAAAATAAACATCAATTAATTAACAGGTTCAAACCTGTCACCGACAAGCTTATGCATTCTACAGACCAAATCTTCTTCTTCTTGACTCATGTTCACAACTTCCCACTCAAGACTACTCACTTCTGTTCCTTGTCATCACCAAAATTCACATTTCTCATTATATAGAAAAGTTATAAAAAAAAAAACAACATGGAAAAATTAGAAAACGAAGGCGTTTACGTTTTCAGCTTACCTTCAGAAGAAGAAGTAACAATGGAGTTGGTCTTGGGTTGCTTAGTCCTGCGATGGTTATCCATGTTAAACGGCACCGTATTACAAAGAAGAAGAAGAAGAAGAATTAAAGAAACTAAGAGAGAGAGAAGAGAGAGTGGTCGTATGTTGAAGGTTGCACACGAACCATCCTTTCTACTTATAGCAACTAACCAAATCAAGTAACCAACGAGTTTGGTCGGTTTCTATGTTAAAGAATCTTACTTTACTAAATTGGTTTTGTTCTCATTAATTAAATTAATTATTGTTAGCTACTAGTATCTTGCAAGTTGCAACCAATAAAAATCACAAGTACCCGTGACTTCATTTACTTCGTTGTGATGATGGCTCTTGGAACATAAGTTGAATAGATATTGATACATGCCGTTAATTAAGTTAAGATCATTAATAATCAACAACAATTGTTTTCAAAGCTTTTCTTTTATTAGTAGTTCAGTTCATAAAGTGATCAACAAGTTTAAATTATTTTATTATTATTTTTTGTTTCAAACATTTTTTAATGACTATGAACCAATAGTAATCTAATATTTTTAATTATTGCGTTTTGAAGTTTACGAAATAATGATTTGGATGTGTCATATACTCATATAGTATACAAAACTATTGTCCTCTTGTACGTTTGTAAAACACAATAATATTTTTCAACCATTCATGTTTTCTCGGCGAGTTTGTATCACTTAACTGATTGTTTTCATGATTTAGCTTAATTGTAATAACACATAACTTTCTATAAATTGGACAAGTAATACGTTCAACATATATAACCATTAGCAAATATAGAATCTACATTATTTAAAACAATGATCCCCCAACTATGTCTCTTTAATATTTAAGATATATAATGTGGCCATCACAGAAGTAAATGAGTGTCACTACGAAAGATGGAAATGGGTTGGATACTTGCATCCTCAATCATGCAAAATTGGTCTAAATTGGCTTTACGCCAAAAAAAAATGGTCCTAACAATAAGCAACGTGTCGTGTGTTCGTTACAACTGCTTTATTGGTTCGGTTTATTCAACATTGTTACCTACATAAAAATCTAGTATTCCAACTTCAACATATTGTTAGATATTTTTTTTTTGACGGCAACATATTGTTAGATATAATAAACATAAGAAGACCTATAAATTTATGTAAGTCATCATCGAAGGGAATATCCCAAGGCAAAACTATATTTAATTTCCATCCCTAGCAAACTTTCAACTTAACTTTTTTCAGTGCTAACAATATATTCTCATTAAATTCCGAATTTAATTTTGGAAGGAGGAAGAGATACGTAAGTTATATGATACCATTTTAATATATAAATGTGGTCATGTTCTTTAATAAGTTAATATTATGAGTGACACTAACTGATTTATTGGTTTTGTCATTTGGTTTCAAAGAGCAGTAAGAGTACATGGAGTTAATTCCTTATAGTTCGATAAATTACAGTTTATTAATTAGATCACTGTCTTATTGGATTTTGACAGAAAGCAAAAGGTGACTTTTGTCTTTTGAAAGAATGGTATAAGAAATATGTTTTGGACGAAGCGTCCTCAAGCTTATCATTTGATGCAATGTCGTGGTAAACAAAAAAAGAAAAAAAATCCAAATTGAATAAAACTTGGCGATTAAAATGGTAATCTAGAGCAACATGTTTCATTACCTAATGAAAAACGGAGTCATCACATAAAATATGTAATCATACATTGTCACAATATATACGTTTAGTGGCTTGCCAATGAACATATTTTAGAGGATGCATAAACTGTGACAATTAGTTGCATGCAAAAGCTATATATAACCGCAATCAATCGTGAGATACGTTAATTGGTTGATTGATTCACAAAGGGAACTATTGAATGAATCAATTAACAGGCTAGACATTCATTTAATTTGGTTAAACATTTAGTTAAACGTCTAGTTACTAGTTAGGCTTTAGGCATCCACTTTTTTTTTTTGAATAAAATGTTAAATTAAATTCAAGAAAAAACAACGTTTTGTACGTCAAAAGCAGAGGATGGTGAAATGTTTTTGAAAATATAGATACATCAAGTTGATTAGAGGCTTCTTGATGCAAACCATGCTTGGAGGCTTGGTCCGTATCGTGTGTCTCCTTCCTTCCTAATGACCGAGAGCTTGTTCCGAATTTGTTTGTCCAAGTGACGAGTGTTGTAGGAGGAGTCGGCTTCTCTCCATGCTTCCTCCCATTACGCTCCCGCCAAATCGAATGAACTGTTATTTGAAAGCTGTATCGAAGTAGGCATCCACTTTTTCCATCAATGCTACACTTTTTAGATGCCGATTAAGGCATAGCACTTAGCCACTTAATAAAGGAATCATGGATTATTCTACATATAGGTTTATGCTAAGTATATGTCACACTTTTCATTACCCCTTTTAACCTTTTGTCATATAGGGAACTAGGGGAGGTCTCCGCGCCCAGCGCGGGGTTGTATGTTGATTAAGACCAGAATTAATAATTAATATTTAGGGTTATCAAGTTAGGGATATTTATTGAATTAATTTTGTCAAGAGTCTAATTTTTATAACGACATTAATATAGAATTATGGTAAAACGCTATAACTTTTGATATATATTATTAGTAATCAACAATTAATAGTGTTTTTGAATCACAAACAATTATTAGTGTTTATATCTTGATATATATAATAGAATTAAATATAAAAAATCTATATATTTAAACCAACAATATATTAGCAACGCCCCGACCGCCACTGTCCATGGGTTCCCACGTCCAGTCTCGGTCTTTAGGCCCATCTTCTTTGTTTTGTCGTACTCTTGATTTTATGACATATTCATGCTTACTCGTTTCTTTCATATTAGCAACGCCCCGACCGCCACTGTCCGTAGGCTCCCCACGTCCAGTTTCGGTCTTTAGGCCCATCTTCTTTGTTTTGTCGTACTCTTGATTTTATGACATATTCATGCTTACTCGTTTCTTTCATATTTGTAATGCCACGACCGCCACTGTCTGTGGGTTCCCACGTCCAGTTTCGTTCTTTGAGCACATCTTCTTGGTTTTGTAGTACTCTTGGTTTTATGACATATTCACGCTTCCCCGTTTCTTTCATATTTGTAACGCTCCGACCGCCACTGTCCGTGGGTTCCCCACGTCCAGTTTCGGACTTTAATTTGGGCCCATCTTCCTGGTTTTTGTTGTATTCTTGATTTTATGACATATTCATGCTTTTAGATTGTATGTCACTGGAGTTTTTCGTAGTTGGAAACAAATAATTGAAAAATATAATCTCTTACCATATCTCTTACCTATCAAGTAAGTCATCTTGCTCTTTGAAGTAGTTATGTACGTAAAATTTCAATGGTATAGAAACAGGCATCTCCTTTGTATATATCGTGTTATATTTATCGTCCCTATTGTAGTATCTTTGTCTCTACCTTCGCCATTGGTCGCTGCGTAACCCTTCAGTTGATCTCTTGTTTATAAAACCCATATAAAAAGTTGTAAGAGAAATATCATTTTCTTAACTGTATCGTATATGTATTTGTAGTATATTGATCTGAGATTGCAAAGATGTATGCCTATCAAGAAGCTCTTAGCAAAGTAAACACTGAAGATATGTACTAAAAATGAGAGGGTTACAGAGAGCAAGTATCTATCCCTTAGAAACCACTATGTGCAACTGAGAATAATTCATATATATACATACATACACATGTATACAACGTATTGAAGCTTTTAAATTTAAATATCGAATGCTACAAAACTGGAAAATTGCTTGTGGAGAAAGCAATATGAACATGGCCACATATATAACAAATAACCGATTATGCTTGTTGTAGATCATTCTCTTTCAAACCAAAAGTTTTACCTAAACAACATATCAAGTGACTCACAAGAGATACATAAGAGCCATATCCTAAAAATATCCGGCAAAGCAAAAATGCTCCAGGTTCGAGAAGGAAGTCATTGGAAAATTTGAGTATATACCAAACTGGAGAGTAATTCGGCTACAAAGAGAGATGTGTTGGCTTTGAAGAAAAAGCTATGTGATGCTCTACCTTTTATTTATGAATTTTATGCTATGAATATATGTTTTTGTTAGGGTTCAACTTCAGTCTCCGGATTAGAGACTTATATTCATCCGACAAACAATTCGATGTCACAATTAACGCTACAAAATTGGTGGGTTCTCTCTATTAACAAACAAAAAAAAATTATGGGGTATATATATTTTTTTTGTTTTGTTAGATCCATACGACGAAGAACATGACGAAGAACACCAAAAATTCTCATCAATCCGGTACGTTTGATCTTATTTTTATTAGTTTAACAATTACGGTTATGTCCGAATCTGAAATAACCATGGCTCCAGACTCCTTCACACCATGGCCACATATCACCGGAGTGGAGACGATTTCAAATTCGGAGCTTCTCTTCGCATATAAAATCATACATATGGTCTCTTTGTTTCGGGTTCCCTTTACAATAATTAGTACATATTTCAAAACTGAGCTACAAAAGAGCACATTGGATTTTGGTAAACATCAAGATTGCTTCCTACCTTCCAAGAAACATGATAGACTAATTCACATCCAAGACCAAACATTAGCCACATAAAGCCTGAATCAAATTAAACGATCTTAGGATGCTCTTCATAATCCGTAAGTTAAAGAGACTTGCATTAATATTGCAAATTAGACTCTAGAGGTCCACAATGGTTAATCAGAGTGTATCAAAGACGACGAATAAAGCATGAATTAGAATATCAGCAGAGGAAGCACACAAATATTCAATAAACGTAATCAATCACTGAGAATAGCATGGACCCAACTTTTGAAAGATTCATAAAAAAGGAAGATTTTTCCTATGCAACAATATTCAAACAATGAGAAGATCAATGATTGATGACTAACCATACAACCGAAGCAAAGCCATAAACAGAAACGAAAGTACTAAAGAGCCACAACAGCAGTGATACGACATTTGTTTCCTCGCACTGGAAACAATGACGTGCTTCCATAAATCCAATCTAGTTTTTATGGAAAACAAACCTGCATTCATAATAAACACTACTATTAATTATTATTTTTTATGCAAGAATTAAATGGCAGTATAAAAAATTCAATGGTTAGTGCCGAAAAAAAAGCAAGGATTAGTTATGATATCAAATCAAAATTAAATATCAAGCAAGGTAT